CGACGGTGGGAGCCCGCAGGTTCGCAGACAAGGGTAGTAAGTGGGGCAAGGAGCTGCTCAGTGGCATCAAAGACAGGTTGGAGGTGGCCGGGGAACTTGTTGGGCAACTCGGGGTCCAGTGGCAAAATAAAATTCAGGGAAGGAGAGGATGTGAAACCGGAGGTTGGGAAGGGAGGTGCAATCCAAGCCACGGAAGCGGTGAGCGGCCTGTCTTGTGTGGGTCTCGGAGCACGCAAAGATCACCAGCAGGCCATGCTGGGCGTGCACGCAGGCGAAGGTGAGCAGCTGGTTGAGGTAGCTCTGCAGCGGGAAGGGTACCAGTAGCACCACCACCCCATCCCTTGGGACCTCTTGGCTTGAACCTAAGTTGGGGTCTAGAGGAGCGCTTATAAGATTATTCAAAAAAATTCTAGACTTCATTCATTCCCAATTCAAATTTGCATGCATTGCCTGCTTTCGACACCTCTCTCCCAATCTTGGGACTCTTCTCTCTCAATCTTGGTATTCCTCTCTCTCAACCTTGGAATTGTGACCTTAAAAACTCTACACAATTCTTTTACATCATTTCAAAATTACCCTTAACATAACTTTCTCAAATTTTCCCTTGCATTTAAATCTAATACCCAAAATACTCTTGAACATAATCAAGCTTATTATTAACATTTCCCCTTAAGTTTGATTTTCCAACTTGGTTACTCCTAATATAAATTTCAATTTTTGAAACATTTCATGTTTGAGACATTTTGTAAAAATATCGGCAACTTGATCTTGCGCCTTTGTATAAACAAGTTCAACCTTCTTCTCTTTCAATTGGTCCCGAATGAAATAGAACCATGTATCAATGTGCTTGCTTCTCTTATGAAACACCTGGCTCTTTGCCAATGCAATTGCCGACTTGTTATCTACATGGATTTTGGCGGGAGTCTCTTGAGGCTTTAAAAGCTCTTTAAGAAGATTCCGTAACCACAATACATGACACGTACTTGATGTGGCGGCTACATACTCGACCTCACAAGTTGATAGTGTCACAATCGGTTGTTTCTTCTATGACCATGTGAATGTCGTGCTTCCCATATAGAACTTGTACCCGAAAGTGCTTTTCCTATCATCCAAGTCTTCGGCCCAATCACTATTAACAAAACCTACAAAATCACAAACATTAGAGCATGAATAAAATAAACCATGGTCAAATGTGTCTTTGATATACCGGAGAATCCTTTTTGCCGCTTTCAAGTGAGAGGTATTTGGAGTCTCCATGTACCGGCTTACCAAACCAATTCTATAGAGAATATTCGGTCTTGTACATGCTAGGTATCGGAGGCTTCCCACTAAACTTTTGAAAAATGTAGGATCAACCCTTTCTCCATCACCTTCTTTTCTCAATTTGAGACCACTTTCTACCGGTGTATTTGCCGGATTACAATTCTCCAATTTAAATTTATTGAGAATTTTTTTTGCATAAGATTTTGTGATACAAAAATTCCATCATCCATTTGTTTAACTTCAATGCCAAGAAAATAAGACATGAGCCCAATGTCGGTCATTTCAAACTCTTTAATCATGGATTCTTTAAACATGCCCAGATTATTTCCCGTATAGATCAAGTCAACATACAAACAAACAAGCAAAATGCCTCCATTTCCATTTTTCTTTATGTATAGGGGATGTTCATACCCTAGGTGTTTCTTTTAAACCATACAGAGCCTTTTTCAATTTGTATACTTTAGTTTCTTGCTCTTTTTTCACATATCCAATTGGTTGTTCAATATACACATATTCTTCAAGAACACCATTCCAAAATGGCAATTTCACATCCATTTGAAAAAAATTTCATTTCATTTGGGCTGCAAGAGAAATGATTAATCTAATAGTTTCCAAACGATCAATGGGGGCAAATACCTCATTATAGTCAATTTCGGGTCTTTGCATGTACCCTTTAGCAACTAACCTTGCTTTATACCTTTCGATATCCCCATAAGCATTTCTCTTTGTCTAGTAAATCCATTTCACACCAATTGATTTGTGGCCCTTAGGAAGTATTGTAAGCTCCTATGTGTCAGTCCTCTCAATTGCTTCAATCTCTTCATCCATGGCCTTTTTTCACACTTTATTTTTACATGCTTCATCAAAATCAATAGGATCCAAATCTGCATAAAGATAAAGCAATGTGAGATCTTCATTTTCAACATCAAGTCTACGAGCAACCGAATAAATTTCTTGAAGTTTTTTGTTTTCATGGGCTTATGAGATTAACTACTAGTTAAAATAGATTGGCCACTTGAAGAAGCATCATGAATAGGACTCAAAGAGCCATCTTGATGCTCAACTTGTCCCTTATTTTCCACTTCATTGAGCTCAATAGTTTTCTTTTCTTGATTACTTTTCCAATCCCATACTCCATTTTCATCAAAAATCACAAATCTACTCAAGAGTACCTTTTTAGTGATAGGATTGTATAACTTGTAACCCTTTGTGTTTTCTCTATAGCCAATGAATACACACTTTTCTCCTTTGTCATCAAGCTTTTCCCTTTTCTCTTCGGGAATTTTAGCAAAAGCCACACCCCCAAAGATTCTTAGAGCTTTACATTTGGCTTGTAGGAGCTCCAAGCTTCTTTGGGTGTCTTATACCATAAACCTTTTATGGAACACCTATTCAACAAATATACCACACAAGCAACAGCCTTGGCCTAAAATTCTTTTCGCATTTCTTTTTCTTTTAACATGCATCTTTCCATATTCAAAATAGTTATATTCTTTCTTTCCGCCACACCATTTTGTTGTGGTGTGTAGGATGTGGTTATTTGGTGGCAATCTCTATGTTCTCTTCAAAAATTTTGGAAAGCATTAGAATTATATTCTTCACCTCTATCTGATCTTATCATTTTAATTTGAAAACCACTTTGTTTCTCCACAAAAGTTTTGAATTCCTTAAACACATCAAAAACTTTCGATTCTTCTTTAAGGGTATAAGCATATGTTTTGCTACTATAATCATCAATAAAAGTTAGAAAGTACCGACTTTTTCTATGTGAAATGGGCTCAAGTGGTTCACACACATCTGTATGCACGAGTTGGAGAGGCTTTTGTGCTTTCCTTGATTTTCCACTCTTGAAGCTCTCTCGATATTTCTTTCCTACAATACACCCTTCACATACTCCATTTGGTTGCTTGAACCATGGCCAACCATTCACCATTTTTGCTTTTGACAACAATTTCAAACCACCAAAATTGAGATGCTCAAAACGAAAATGCCATAACCATGAATCATCATTCAAAATAGATTTGAGGCATTTCACATTTTCACTTTTGATGTTCATTGGAAACATTCTTTTCTTAGTCATAATCACTTTGGCAATCAAATTGTTTTTTTGGTCCCTCAAGTAAGGGCTACCGTTTTTTATAAAAATATTATAGCCTTTTTTCCAAAAACTGCCCCACACTCAAAATGTTATTTTTCATGTCTGACATATAATATACACCAGAAATAAATTGATGACCACCATTCTTCATTTTTATCAAAATTTTACCTTTGGCTTTTAAGGGTCTTTTTTATAAGTCTCCAAATGTTACATGCCCATGACTTAATTCATTCAATTCCACAAACAATTCCTTTCTAGCACACATGTGATTGCTTGCAGCAGTGTCAAGATACCAAGTATCCATTCGATTATCATTCTTATCATTATAAGCTAATAACAAAGTTGGTTCTTCTTCATAATTTTTCTTTTCAACAAAATTAGCTTTTTCAAATACATCATTTGGGAACGGTATCTACACTCGGAACTATAGTGGCCATATTTTTTGCAATTATAACATTGACTAATAGATTTTCCATACCTTGAATTATTGTATGGCCTTTAAAAATTACCTCTTTTGATGGGATAGTTGTTGGACAGCGCCGGAGCCCTATTTTCATGGGATAGAGGACAAAGGTGTAGGTAAGGTAAAAATAGGGGAGGGTAGTTTAGGTATTTTCTTATTTTTTATTTTTGGTGGGGGTATTTGCATAAAAAATGTATTTTGGAGAGAAAAAGTTTTGGGACAAGTTGCATGAAAAGTATAGTCTAGTTTTTTTTTGTAATTTTCCGAAAAATCAATTGATTTCAAAATACTTTATGGCCGGATCAGGACACTTGGTGATGTTGTTTCCCCAATATCAGTAGGAACATAGCTTGGTGGAAGGCATGGGTGACAGACATAGAATCAACGGTCCCACACCAATAGTCAATAATTGAAGGTGATGCATGGGCTAGGACCCATAACTTCTTCCGCCCCCATAAATCAAAGAACCAGCTGAGGCCAACAAAGCAACATTATCCTCCTCCCCAATGAGTGCTCCTCCAGACCTCAACTTGGGTTCAGGTCAAGAGGTCCCAAGGGATGGGGTGGTGGTGCTAGTGGTACCCTTCCCGGCGCAGGGCCACCTCAACCAGCTGCTCACCTTCGCCTGCGTGCTTGAAGAGCATGGCCTGCCGGTGGTCTTCGCTTGCTCTGAGACCCACGCAAGACAAGACAGGCGGCTCACCGCTTCAGTGGCTTGGATTGCACCTCCCTTCCCAATCTCCGGTTTCACATCCTCTCTTTCCCTGAATTTCGTAATTTGCCACCGGACCCCGAGTACCCCAACAAGTTCCCAGGCCACCTCCAACCTGTCTTTGATGCCACTGAGCAGCTCCTTGCCCCACTTACTACCCTTGTCTGCAAACTCGCGGGCTCCCACCGTAGTGTGGTAGTTGTCCACGATATGCTCATGTCTGTGGCTGCTCGTGCAGCTGCTGAGTGCCTCAATTTCGAGTCGTACAGCTACCATTGCATCAGCGCGTGCTCTGCTGTATGCTTTCGGAGGGGAGAAGATGACCATCCGGAGCCTGTCGTGCCCGGCCTGTCACCTCCTATATTGCGTAGTTTTATAAATGAGAGCTTCATGGACTTCTTGCCGCGCGCTGTGAGGTTCCAACACCTCGACAGGGGATTGCTCTTCAACCCTTCCATGCCCTTGAAGGTCAGTTCCTGAGCAAGATGGCAGAGAGATCGCCCGGTCTCCATGTTTGGGCAGTGGGGCCGACAGTTCTTTTGCGGAAGGAGCATCAAGAGCCACACAAGTTCCATGAATGCCTGCAGTGGTTGGACAAGAAAGCCCAGCAGTCGGTGGTGTATGTCGCATTTGGCACCATTGTATCAATGAGAGCAGTGCAGGTGAGGGAGCTAGCACAAGGATTAGAAGCCAGCGGGCAGCCCTTCCTTTGGGTCCTAAGATACGCCGAAAAAGGGGATGTATTCGCTGGGAGAGAGGCGGAGGGTCCACGGGGGCTACCAGAAGGGTACGAGGGGAAAGGGTTGATAGTGAGGGACTGGGCACCCCAATTGGAGATACTACGCCACCCCTCCACAGGCGGGTTCTTCACGCATTGCGGGTGGAACTCATGCATGGAGAGCTTCACCATGGGTGTTCCCATGGTGGGATGGCCTATGCACTCGGACCAGCCAGTGAACGTGCAGTTACTTACAGGGGTGCTTGGGGTGGGGTCGGCGGTGAAGGAGTGGCATGAGAGGGACGACATTGTTAGGACAGAGAGAGTGGAGAGGGCGGTGAGGAAGGAGGAAGGGGGCAGAGCTGAGGGACACCGCCCGAAAGGCTGTGAGCAAGGGTGGGACGTCCTCTACCGCCTTTGATTCCTTTCTCGAACTTATCTCTCGACCTTAAGACAATTCTATTCGATATTCATTATTTAAGATTGTCTACAAAAAGACAATTTATCTTTTGTACGAGGATGTCTCAATTATTCTTGTCTCTCAAATTTCAAAACGGGTGATTATAAGAGTGTCGTTTGATAGACACAAAGTCTTAAAAAAACAAATTCTTCAATTTGACATCTAATCAGTAGAAATAATTGTAGCTTTCAAAAGATAAATGATCTTTGTAGACATTATTTATTGTATTTGTTGGACTCGGTTACGAAGACCTACATGATTGGCTACAGGTGTATATGTTTTTATTTTATTTTTCTCAGGATCTATGAGCATTAAAAATTGGGAAATTAAAAAAAGAATCTCTATTTTCTTTTTAAATTTAAAATTAGTATAGAAAAGGACAAAATATCTTTGTGATTCTCAAAATCCCAATTAACCAAAGAATCTCTATTTACCTGTTGAAATTTAAAATTAGTACAGAAAAGGACAAAATACCTTTAGGAATCTCAAAATTTTAAGGGCATTTGGTTATTTTATGTATTTTAAAATAATTTTATATTTTTTATCGAATGCACTTTTTATGAGACCTAGGCTTTTGGAAAACATACTAAAGCCTGATCTAGAATCCTCATTTAGAAAGCATTTTAGACATCGAAAAACAATTTTCAATACTGACTAGAAAATTTAAAGTTCAAAAAATTGTATGGATCTTGTGAAACCATGAATACTTATATTTAAGAGCGAAGTAGATAGTCTAGATAATATGTTATGATATACATTATTTTAAGGGCTTGAAATACTAAATTTTTTCTCACTAACGATAATGCTCCAGATCAAGATGATCGATTTAAAGGTTTTTCAGTACCAAAACTAATGTGAGACGTTATTTATTTTGATAGGACTGCATCCCTTTCAAAACATTTTCCGTTTTTATAAATATGAGATGATGAGAGGAATCAGCTTCCCCAAAATTCTCTTTGAGTCTTCTTCAATTATCAACCTCATATCCTTGGTGAAGCGGGAAAACGTTTACTGCGAATGATGACATAATTTTATAATTTCTGATCACTTGTGTAGGAACATTAGCACAGAATTATATACTATCGGTGAGATTAGATGCCCACATTGTATCTCATAATTAGCCATTTTTAAAATTTAAAATTTTATAGTTAAATATAAAAATAGATTTTTAGATAATCCTCATAACATTTTACATCAAAATTATATACCATGATAAAATTTGGAGGTGCACCTTACCTCTACACCTACGAATGCATCTGTATGCCAACTGCACCCTAAAAAAATACTCTAGTATAACTTTCTTCTAGAAAAAGGATTTTTTTATTTTATTTTTTTCTTGAGGAGATGGACTTAACAATAACAAGGGAAATTTATGTACAGACTAAATTTTTTTACCGTTATAACGGACTGGCATGAAAATAGGTTGTTCTTACCTAGAATGTTGGATCCCTAAATTTTTTTTATTTTTTTAGCCAAATTTGCATCCAGTCCAATTTTTTAAACATCGGACCGTCTTAGTTTTCATTCTCTCTCTCTGTCCTATCTCTCAACCCCTTACAAAAATCTCGCTCTTTCTCTCTCTCTCCCCATGTATGGTATGTGATGCGCCACGATATCCCATGAGTGATCTAACAAGATCAATAGTTAGCAAATGTCTTACTACAGTGTTTTGAAAGAACTTTTGTTGACTGAGAGAGAAAGAGATTCTCTGATTGCGTTTGATTAACACAAGATATGTGCATTTGCACATGCCCTAGAGAGGCAATGCCTATAGCAGTGATTGGGTGTGTGATCATGTTGGATAGAAAATCCTTTTTTTTTCAAACTCTCTTAGAGCGACAGATCTAAATGTTCGCAGTTTTGCTGTTCTGATTTTTCACTGCCATTAAGCATCACTGCCATTAAGCACTTCAGTTATGCCTGAAGTCAAGGGAGGTCCTCACCGGTGTTAGGAAGCTAGCATTATGCCTTTGTTACCGAAACTAATGAAATTTCTCACCATTGTCAACCTTCCCGTTTTTTCCTCAAAAAAACCCAAAATCTTTAAGAGAGAGATCTGCCGGGTAATGGGAGTAGGTCTTTGAGAGAGAGAGAGAGGCCTGATAGCAAGAAGAGATAGGAGAGAGAGAGCGAGATTTTTGAAAGGAAGAGAGAGAGGACAGAGAGTAGGTGAGACAAAAAAGAGGAGAAAAAGAATAGAACAAAGACTTCGAGAGCGTAACTAAGGCGGTCTGATGTTTGAAAAATTGGACAGGGGGCAAACTTGACAAAAAATAAAAAAAATTATGAGATCTATTCTTCCAAGTAATAACAACCTATTTTCGAGCCCTTTCGTTATATATTGGTAAAAAAAACCCTGTCCCATACGTAAATTTCCCAAATAACAATTTAAAGAGGGAAAAAGTTTATATAAGGTTGCAACCTTAAAATGTAAAACTACATATTCACCTAAAAAATCCATCGAAAAAGGTTGTTTTAATGTTGAAAAACCCTCTGATTGATCATCTCGACATCGAGATGTAAGATTATGAAAACAAAAAGATTTTGAGTCTCATAAATAATGTATCTTACAACATATTATCTAGACCATCTATTTTCAAGATTTTCATATGTTTATAGATCTACTTGATTTTAACTATGTTTGGAGTTTAAAATTGTATAATTAGATATAAAAATAGATTTTGAGATAATCCTAAGAATATTTTACATCAAATTGTATGTTATGATAAAATTTGAAGATGCGCCTTAATTGCATTGTTTAAGGTTGCAATGGAAACCACACCCTTTAAAGAGAGGACCATACCCTAAAAAAAAAAAGAGAGAGAAGGTCGGGCCGGGAGCCATCCCGAAAGCTATTTTTTGGCCTGAAAGCAGGCCGAACCAGAGTCTAAAATTGAGTTTTTGGGCTGGGCCAAAGAATTTTGGCCTTTTTTTTTATCCGCCCTGGTGGTAGCCCAAAGTATATATGCCTAGGAGGTCTTATGCAAAGCCTTTTCTGAAATTGTCTTTATCAGGTACTATCAGAAACTCCATTCTCTCAGTGGCATCTAAACACAATGTGTACACCTAATGTGACAATCTCAAGTGCATTCATGATTCACAAAGAGAAAGAATTTTAGGCCAGCATGGATGGCACATATAAGCTCCCCCACAACACCACCCCATCATTGATGTTTACTCAAGTTAGTGTTGGGTTCATGTGGCCTTTAAAAGCCTTATGAGTGCTTGTAAAATGAAATGATAGAGTGGAATCTGAACTCACTGGGAGTATAGTCCCTCGTGGGCCATACTTAGCAAACGATGTTTGCAGATATCGGACTGTGCTTGACAATCTTGGTCAGTTGGTTAGAAAAAACCCATGTCACTTGGGCATAAAGAAAAAACCGAGAAGGGTTCTAATGAGTTAGCCCTTGATGATGTTGGAAAATATGCCTGGATGAGTGAGCCGAGGGACTGTGTGACCCCTGTTTGTAATGGTGGTCTACAGAGACGGGGGCCGAAGCCTCATCCATGTGCCATCACATGGCATGCATATCGATAAATCGTTCGGGAAAGCCAGAAATTCACTTTTTAGGGTGAAGCGTATGCATATTCAAGAGATACCCCTATGCACCATAGGAGCTATGGTCGCGTCAGGTCTAAGAGACCTTGACTAGTCTTTAGGGGAGGACCTGAAATCCACAGACTGAGATTGCGATCCCTTGGCTCATTGGGAGGATTTTGGTGACCCGCTAATGAGCCCCTACTTGGATTGTGGGTCTTAGGAAACATTGGGTAGGTCTCATAAAGCAAGTGTGGTATGTAGGCCACAGTTGAAGGTGGAGTGCCCCATGATTGTTGATTCCTAAACCGTATGGATCTTTTTCCCATCAAATTAATTTAATTGTGTTTGTTTTACGATGAAAATTATTTTAATATTTTTATTTGAATTTTTATGAACCCCTGGATATTTTATTTATAATTTTTGGATCATATACAATTAAAGATATTGATTTTACAATTGTTTAAATATTCAAATAATATTCTAAAATCCTTTTATTAATTTTAAATATATAAAAATATCATGGGGGCCCATTGTGCATATCGGCCTGCCATATTTTTTAGAAGGTGGGGCCCATGAGTGCCTCCCTTGGGTGGCACTCCCCACCGTTATTCTCTTTCCTATTTTTTGGTGATATGGCATGTGGCCATATGGTTGGAAGATGTTGACTAAATATTGACTTGATATATCTTTGAAAGATTTTGTGGAAAGATCGAGTAGACTTGTCCTATTTTGTGGTATGCACAATATTTTGGTTAGATTTAATTTATTTAATTTCTATTGATGAGAAAATGGTTTTGAAAAAGGGGATAATGGTTCATGCACTTTCTATAATGTTGATGGCCCATCTATGGAATGGATGACTCAGATCTCTCACCCCACAAGTCACCCTTGATCGATGGTCTATATTCAATCTCACAAGAAGAGGCAAGCCAAAGAAAACCCTAAGAAATCCTAATTTTATTTAAAGCCTATAAAAAATTATTGTCTCTACCAAAAAATATCTGCACATTATCTTTCTATCTCTCTCTCTTAAGAAAATTTATCTCTCTCATGTTTGATCTCTCTCTCCCACATTGTGAAAGAACCTAAGGGTTTAGGTTATGGAGTTCTTCTCTCTTATATCTCAAATATGGATTTATGGCTTTAGGGTTTAGCAAAAAGAGAATCCATCTCTCTCAAAACTAGGTTTCTAAGAAATTCACCTAGGGTTTGAGTTTGTGATCAAAGGGGTTCATGTTCCATTGGTGTGGCTTGGCCGAAATTTGCTTTTTCGGTTCGAGAATGAAGCTAGACCGTTGATCCCGCACCATCAGATGGTGGTGACTCGGTGTGGGGTGTAATAAACTTGGTTGAGGTAATCTCCGGCACTCTTCCTTTTGTTTCTTGCAATCTTATCTTTTATTCTCAAACATAGTGCATAGTTGTTTCAATGGCATCAAGTTGTTAAGATCTTGATTTTATTGTTACGTTGATTTTATTATGAAATTTATCTTATTATAATGAAGACCACATGTAAGTGATCTTTGCCAAAAAAAAGGGGTGAAGAAAAAAAAAAATGTGTTCCTCGGTAAAAGAGCACATAGGTCTTTCTTTCATTGTTA